CTAAATTAACTTAGAGTAACCTTCCTTTCTTCCACACAAAAATATATATATAAATATATACACAATTATATACATATATATATTTTTACCTCTATATATATACAGTACATACCTACACTAACACATTAGGCCAAGATCTACATTTACACTCTTATACATCGGCACTCAGAGAACCGTGACCCCCCTCAAAACCCCCAATCATCAGTTCCATATCCCAACACCAGTCCCTCCACCTGTCCTCCCATCCGTTCCACCTCCCATTCCACAGCGACGTTCACCTCCCCTGTCATCACAGTACATGCTAAACAGCATCAGTATGAGCCTTTTTTTTAACAGACTCATGCTTGGACATTGCTTCAGCCATTTGATCCTGATAAAATACAGTGATATAAAGGAAGTATCCATCCTGATGGTGTTTGGATGAGTATCTAAACAGCATCAGATTCAAAGAATAGACATAAACAGACATGGCTCCATTTGCTGGCGGTGCAATGGTCAGATTGTGAGAATTCAGTTTAGAACCGAATAGATCCGAACCGTCCTGCAATGCCTCAGCGTAAAGCAACAGCTTGGCATGTTCAGGTTCTAGACAATCCACCCCAGAGTCTGTTTTCAAAAACGTCAAGAAAGAAAATTCCTCTTCCGAACAAACACAAGCAGCTACACAGCATTAAGGTAAAAGATATTTCAGTTGAATAAATTCTCTTCAGTTTTAGCCCAGTACAAATGCTCACACATTGACTAATAAAATGTTCCTAACATCCAGCAGACCAATAGAAATAAATCTTTACTCCTCGCTCCTGAAGAAAACCCACCCACAATATAAAAAAAAAATAACTCGAAAAAAAAATGAAGAAAACCCACCCACAATATAAAAAAAAAATAACTCGAAAAAAAAACCAAAAACAAGAAAAGCCCTAGGAGGTCGCAGACCTTCTCCATGAAGCAATTTTTGCCCCAAATTGTGACTGATACTAAAACTCTCACACGAAGTGGATCATTACCAAATTGAAATTTAATGTTCCTTGGCATGAGGCACACCTCTGGTAAAACATTTCCTTAAAATCTCTTCATAAGTTTTCAGTTCATCCTGCTAACAAACCAAAAATGTTCCCTTTTCTTGTGTTTTTGTCTTCAGTAAAATATGCCGAGGCTGTCAATAGTCACTGCTGCCATCTTGTGGTTTAGGGAGGAACTGCTTTTTCCACCAAATATCTCTCTTATTTTCCACCTCATTTTGGGAAATTCTCGCCTATTTTATATACCCAAATAGAAAAGAAAATAACTTAGGAACTGTAAGCCCAAATTACATGTGTGATACATTATTTGAAAGATAACACTTTGTATTTTCTAAATATATACATGAAAATTGGGTGAGTAAAACACAGCCCAAGCTGCATCAGTTCAAACAGGACTCAAAGTTGGGTTTTTTATCCTAAAAAATAATAGGTCTTTTTTTTAACAGCAGTTATAAAAACATGCTTTCTTGTTTTGGCTGCTTTGTCATGGTACATTTTGACATGCTGCTGTATCCGTGTTAATTTTGCTTTGGTGCTCGGTTTGTTCAAAAAAAGGAACTCAATGTGGAGAATCTAAGCTTTCCAACAATGTCTAACATGACAATATTGGTAAACATTTTACCAGTGAAATTTTCATGCATTCTTACTTATTATTTGAAAACGCTTTAAAACGGTGAGTTTTTAAATGCTTTTTAAATGCTTTAAAAATTACACTTCTGATTATATTTTTTCTTACTAAAACAATTTTCCAGTTACAAAACATGTTTTGCTTTGCTTGCAACTATGTTGTATTTATTAACCTAATATTAACTCCTAGTTACCCCTTTAAATCTAATAAAAAAAAGTTAGAAATAGAAAAACAAAAAGATAAACTGCTACTAAAGCACCTTTTACGGGACTGAAAGTATTTTTGCTTTCCTAGAAAAATGCTCTTGTCTTTCTTAAAAGCATTATCAAGGTAACATTTAGGGGTTATAGAAATGCATATTGCTTTAACTGTGGGACGTATAGTGAATTGAGCATCTTTACCTTGCAGGTTTTCACCACTGTTGCCCTGGTAGGAATGCTGATCGTTCCTCTCAATGCTTTCCCCTGGGTGCTCAATGGGATCCTTGAAGCCAAAGTGTCCCTGGAACGAATCCAACGCTTCTTCAAACTGACCAACCAGGATCTGCAGGCCTACTACGCTCTGAGTGAGGCTCTGCTTTTTTCCCTTATATCCTGCTGTCAAAGCTAAAACGGTAACTTATTATCAGCAGCGTTTCTCATTGTGCTGAATCATCACCATCATCTGTCCACAGTGTCTCCTGAAGATACGAGTCAGACATCCATCCTGCTGAAGCAGGGGGCGTTTTCCTGGCAGGGACCCGATGTGAATGAGGCGGGAGAAACTGAAAATGAGGTCGGGAGAGGAAGTCTGCTCCTCCACAGCCTGGATCTACACGTAATAAAGGTAGAGTCCCTTAGCTCCTGCATACCTCATTTCCTGCAGAACTGTGCAGAACTTCAACTAAAGCTGCTGCTAAACAGCTGGTTTAAAATGTATCCGAGTCACAGGAAACAGAGAAATGGCTTTGGTTGTTAGTCACATTTAGAATAGATTCTAGACACTGAATTTCTGAATTATGTCCTTTTAAAAGAACAAACCTTAGATTGCTTTAACATCACAAAACTGATCAAATCAGCTCACATGATGTTTGATTTGGAGGAAACACTTGGAAAGCAGATATTCTGCTAACCAACTGCAGTAGTTAAGATAAACAGGGCAACAGTGGCGTCGGATGTAGGAGTTTGCCCTGAAATCGAAGGGTTGACGGTTCAAGCCCTGACTCCGACTTTCAGTGTCGTTGTGTCCTTGGGCAAGACACTTCACCTGCATTGTCTACTGATGGTGTACGGCAGTACATGCCATTTACCATTTACCATAAAAGATTCAGAAAGGGCTTATTTCTTGGACTCTAAGATTTTTAATTATTTACATTAGTTTGATGGGATATTCAATATTTTCTTTCTATTCTATTTCTTTTCTTAAATGCACTGGAATAATACCCACACCTCCTCATTTGTTCTCTTTGTATGTTTATGACTATCCTTATTTTTGGTTGCCTTGACAATTAGAATAACTACTAAATTAGAATAATTATCTGTTTTGTTTCAAGGACAAGTCACCCCAGATCTGACCTGTAGGTCTTTTAGGTTTAGAAACAGGTCTAAAGTAAACCACAGGAAAGTTAAAGTGATAAGAGTTATTTTAGCAGCTTTTTCACCAACCCTGATGCTAGCTAGCTAGCTAGCTAACAACCGTTAGTTCGGTTCTGGACTCACTGCTCAATCCTCGGCTTTGACTTCTTTATGAACTTCTTCAACTTATAAATTTTAAGATTTGATTTGATTATAAACCTATTTATAGTTCCATGTAAAATCAGAACAAATAAAGGAATAAGTATACATTTTTATGATTGCATGAGCTAAACATCATGGTGATGCATGAAACTTTAAAGTTTCTCTTGATCATGAAGTCTATAAAGATAAACTTAACACATAATTTACAGTCAAAAGATGCAAGAGAATCTTTCTTTTGAAATGATCAACAAAAACATTAACAATGCTAGTGCCTTATTTGCCACAGTTGAGAGGTTAACGTACCCTCCTCTCATATTTTTTACTGAAACAATATTAGAAAAAACAGTCTGCACATCAATGCAATACATTTTTTGCTCTTTAAAATTTTCAATAATTTCGAATCCATCTACTTTCTTTGGATGGGGGGAGCCATGTGGGTAACGCATTGTTTCTCACTCAGGGCTCTCTGGTGGTCGTCGTGGGGAAGGTCGGCTGTGGGAAAAGCTCCTTGCTAGCCGCTATCACTGGAGAACTCAGGAGGTACTTTTTCTTTTCGTCCTCACAAAATGCGCTGAGAGTGCTTGGTGTGAACATGTCCACTCCGTTTCCATGTGAGTTTGTTTATTTATTTGTCCTCTCCTCTGCAGGCTTAGCGGAGTGCTCTATGTGGCCAACAGAGAGGCAGGCTTTGGTTTGGCCTCACAGGAGCCGTGGATCCAACATGCTTCAGTGCGAGACAACATCCTGTTTGGCAAAGATTACAGCGCGGCTCTCTACCAAGCTGTGATCGAGGCCTGCGCGCTCTCCGATGATCTCAGCGTACGACGGTCTCATATGAATTCACAATAATGTTTTTGTTATGCTGAAAATTTTATGAAGGAAGCTCCTTTATGATAAATATGTTGCAGAGTGGAGAACATTTCCTGATCATTGATATAAAAGCCTGGCTAAATGGTAACATTAAATAATATTTATTTATATTATGGAGCTGAACTGGGGGCAATAAGTTTGTTGAAAAACATTATTTTTAGGGATGCACGATATAATCGGCCCCCTATCGGTATCGGCCTGTATCGGCCTTAAAACTGAATATCGGACATCGGCCACCCCACCGATATTTAACCCGATATTTGATCAGCTTCTGAGTTTCTAAAGTCTAAAAAAAAAAAAAAAAATACTACTTTTTCTTCTTCCTCAGAAACTTCTTTTTTACAGACTTAAAAACTTCTAAAGACAAGGAAAAAAATATTGATACATTAAAATATCACAATATCTTCATATGCTGATATATTGCCATTTAAAAACACCATATCAATCTCTTTTACTAATGAAATATTGCTATATGTCATCGTTATGCTACGAAATCCCCCGAAAATTCACAAAATTTTGCCATATTTTTACATGTTGATATATTGACGCGGTATCGATCTATTTTACTAACAAAATCTTGTTAGAATTTGCAAAATATCACGAGAGTTTGTAACAGAACAATGAAATTTCACGAGATTTTGAAAGTAAAATAGATTGATACCGCGTTTTTAAAAAACAATTTGATATCAGCATATGAAAATATATTTGAGTATATTATTTTTCAAAGTGTCAGAAATGGATAACAAAACTGCTATTTTCAATGACTACTAATTTTTATCCAGCTTTAACATCAGTATCGATATCGGTTGTCGGCTACATGAGTTTTAAAATATCGGCATATCGGATATCGGCCAGAATCCCAATATCGTGCATCCCTAATTATTTTTATTTGTAATTTCCCAGTAAAAAATTATGGAAAATTGGAAAACTTTTGAAGCTAAAATAAATAGATTTAAACCTGAAAAGAGGGCTTTAACCCCTCGAGCAGCCCCTTCTGTTTGTGGGCGGGCCTTAGATATGTGGTCTGAAAACATGAAGAAAATATTCACATTATTTTTCAAAACCGATCCTATAAACATACAACAAAGTATCACTGATGTTTTTTAAGATATGTCTAGTTCATGAACGAAGCATCTGGGATTATTTGGTTCAGGCACCTAAACTGTCAGTCATGATTCAACACCTCATATGATCTAAGCCCCGCCCCCAGGGGCCAGCGCTTTAAAGACACGAAAATAAAACAGACTCTGAAAAAAGTTCTAAACTTTTCTTTTCAGTTTTAAATCATTCTGTTTCAAACTTCTTCTTTTTTTAGTTTAAAAAATATGTAGTTCACTTTATTTGATTACTGTTGCAGGAAAATAACCCGTTTTATAAACTGAAGTTTGAAAAAAATAAATGCAATTCAGAAACTTTATCAAATTTGTTGCTTCATACTTAAGATTTTGGATACAGAATGAAGAAGAATCTGTTTCTCATTTGACTTTTTGTACCATCCATGCATTAATTCAAAATATTTTTTATTTTAAGTACATTTCTAAAATCTGCTCAGAGGCGTCTGTGCTGCAATGTGGCTTTTAGATATTATCCAGCTCCATGGAATCGACTCATCAGTCATGGTTTCATCAGGAGACATAATCTGCTCTATGTTAATGGAATAATAGAAAAATAACTACTGAAAATTAAATGTTTTAGTATTTTATAATAATCTTAATTCATTAGAATCGCATGAATACTCAGAAAACTAAATGCAGCAAGAATTTGAAATTATTTTATGAGTCTAAATGTCAGAATTGATAAAACAAATAATTATTGGTGAAGGGAGAATTTGACCCAGAGCTGTTCTCAGGGTTTCAGTTGCTGTTTTTGTTCTTGCAGGTTTTACCAAACGGAGACAAAACAGAGGTGGGAGAAAATGGAGTGACTCTGAGTGGAGGACAGAAGGCCCGGCTGGCCCTGGCCCGAGCCGTTTACATGGTCCGTATTCTGCCATCCGTCACCGTTCACACACAGAACAGACTTCATTTTCATAGCCAAACATCATGTTACTGCCACTGATGGGGAGACCGAAGCATAAGAAACATTTTACAGCTACAGCTGGTATCAGGTGGTCATTTTCTCACTGTAAAAAAATCCAAATCTAGATAAGTCATTTTTTCTTAAAGTAAGTGCATTTGTTCTTGGATTAAGGAGATAAAAGAGACATTTTGCCAATGAAACAAGACAATTTGCATTTAAAATAAGAAAATGCAATTGCATTGTCTTATTTCAAGTGCATTTTATCTAAATATCTTGTTTTAAGAGTAAAAATACTCATTCCATTGGCAAACTACCTCATTAACCTACTCAAAATAAGGGTAAATACACTAATTTAAGAAACGTTTACTTATTTCTAGATCGTTTTTCCAGGAAACCAGGAACCAAAACCGGATTAAATCTGTTCATTACTTTGGTTTTAGTATTTTCACAGCTGCAGATGTTCGTATGAAAACAAACTGGAGGAGAATTGGAAGTTAAGTTTAGCGATGCATAAAATAGAACAGCTAAAAATAAATGGCTAAATCTACGGTCAATAAAAATGCATAGGCGTTTGAATTTGTCAATAAACATAAATAAATGTAAGGTTTTTATTTGACACTTGTTCCCAAGTCATACATACACGTGCAATCAGATGGTTCGATGAGGAAACAAGTTTAGAAGTTATGAATTAAATTTACAATATTGCATAAATTACAAATACAAATCCCAAATTTACAAGTGCAAACCCACAACCCCGGTAAGATGTTACACTCCTTACCAGTGGGTGGCAGTAGTGCACCTGACGGATTTTCACAGAATGGCATTGAAAACAGAAGGAGCTAACATCATCAGAATCAGAATCAGAAATACTTTAATAATCCCAGAGGGAAATTACTTTTGTTACACGCTCTAGTTACAGTTTTACATGATATATACACACATCCAACTATACAATATAATAACATAAAAAATAAGAATAAAAAGAGATCAAATATATATACACATATAGCTCTTCTGTACATATATCTGTATGTATATCTATGTATATGTAAAAACTAAATCCAAATAAAGTGAAAAGTCCAATATTCCTGCTTAAATGTTTTCAAAGCATGTGGAGTATAACGTTTGATCAACGGTTCCGTTTTTGTCTTCTTCCTCTTATTGTTTAAATGTGGATGGAGAAAAATCTCAAGGTTCATTACCGCCACCAGCTGGTGAGGAGTTTAGCAGCTTTAGCAGTAATTGTAGATTTGTACTTTTAAATTTGTGATTTGTTCTTGCAAATCTGTGATTCTTTCTTCTAGGTTTGCGATTTGTACTCTTAAATATGTGATTCGTTCTCATAAATTTGCAATTCTTACTTAGGGATTTGTGTTTTGTATTCATAGATTTGTGATTTTTATGAATATTTTTATTCTTACTCGTGGATTTGTGATTTGTAATCATAAATTTATGATTTGTTCCCCTAAATTTTCCATTTTTATTCATAAATTTGTGATTATTGTAAAATTATTATTAATTCTCTTAAATTTGTGATGGGTACTTGTACATTTGTGATAATTACTTGTAAATTTTTGATTTTTACTTTAAGATTTAGGATTCTTATTCATAGAACTGGGATATGTACTTTTAAAATTGTGATTGGTACTCCTAAATTTGTGATTCTTACTTTTGTATTGATGCAAAGTTGCATCTCGGAGTTGTAACTTCTAAACTTTTATTCTTACAGATAAAACATCTAATGTCACCTGTATGTGTTTTTTGACAACAAGAAACAAACACAGGTTTTAATTTATTCAGGTTAAATGACTTAAATATACGAATTCAGACACCTGCACATTTACTTTTGCTGACAAATATCTTTACCCATAAAAATCAGCATAGTTTTGTCAAAACTTAGAACAAGAGCTGCATTATGTTTGCAGAGCGTGCCAACACACCAGCAGAGGGCTAATGTTTGTCTAATGTTGTATTTGCTAAGAGTGAGCTAGCTAGCTGCCCCAATCCTAGATTTACCCATTTTGTTGTTTTCTAAAGCAACACATCACACGTATACAGTGTCTATATCTGTACTAATATATCAGTTTCTTTTATTACTAATTTCAGGAATTTTTACCACATGTGTCTAGGGTTGTGTCATGTTAACACTGAGACCTTTTTCTGTCCGTTAGGATAAAGAGATCTACCTACTGGATGATCCACTAGCAGCTGTGGACACAGACGTAGCCGAACACCTCATGAAGAAATGCATCCTGGAGCTCCTCAGAGGGAAGACCAGGATCCTCTGCACCCACCGTATAGAATTTGTGGACAAGGCTGACATGGTGGTCCTCATGGACAGTGGGACCATAGTTAAAACAGGTAACAGCACCAGTCTGTTTACATACAGGTAAAAACTAGGGATACACGATATTGGGATTTTGGCCGATATCCGATATGCCTATATTTTAAAACTCATGTAGCCGATAACCGATATCGATACCGATGTTAAAGCTGGACAAAAATAAGTAGTCATTGAAAATAGCAGTTTGTTATCCATTTCTGACACTTTGAAAAATAATATACTCAAATATATTTTCATATGCTGATATCAAATTGATTTTTAAAAACGCGGTATCGATCTATTTTACTTTCAAAATCTCGTGAAATTTCATCGTTCTGTTACAAACTCTCGTGATTTTTTGCAAATTCTTGTGAGATTTTGTTAGTAAAATAGATCCATACCGCGTCAATATATCAACATATAAAAATATGGCAAAATTTCGTGAATTTTCGGGGGATTTCGTAGCATAACGATGACATATAGCAATATTTCATTAGTAAAAGAGATTGATATGGTGTTTTTAAATGGCAATATATCAGCATATGAAGATATTGTGATATTTTAATGTATCAATATTTTTTCCCTCGTCTTTAGAAGTTTTTTAGTCTGTAAAAAAGAAGTTTTTGAGGAAGAAGAAATAGAATTTTTTTTTTTTTTTAAGACTTTAGAAACTCAGAAGCTGATCAAATATCGGGTTAAATATCGGTGGGGTGGCCAATGTTAGATATTCAGTTTTAAGGCCGATACAGGCCGATACCGATAGGGGGCCGATTATATCGGGCATCCCTAGTAAAAACAGGTATTTAGTGGAAGCAAAAACAGTGTCTGAAGCCAAAATGGAAATAGACGCTAATGATGATGTTCATGATGTTAAACGATTGTTTCTCCAGTGACACCAATATGTTTGCTAGGATTTTAAACTTGTCCCAACAGCTAAACTTCTGTTTTACAAAGGAATCTATTTTAAAGGGACATAGTCAGGTTTCATTGCTCAGCAAAAAGAACGTTTGATCCTGATTAAACATGTTATAATCACCAAGTGTCAATCATAATAGTGTTTAGATTCAGTCCTTTTTTAACCCTAAAGCCGGGCATACACTGTGCGATTTTGTTTTTTCAATTGTTGCATGCAGCTATACCTCACACTGTACCCTGCGGTTTTGTCATATAGTGTGAGTTCACAGCTGACGATATATGTTCTCACAATGTGCGACCCGACGCCATGATGCAGTTGACCTGCTTACACTGTACGTCTAAAAACCACGCCGGACTCTACTCAGACTTGTCTATCCAGAAGCCAAACAAGAGGTCCGCTGTGCTCCGGGAGCTTGGTGTACAGGGTCAGGCTAGGAAAGGAGTCCATTGGGTCTGGTTGGCTCTGTTCTTCGCAGTAAGTGCAGAGAAGGCTCCTTTCCTTGGCCGACAACTTTCCCTTCAGGAGGTCAAGCAAGCGCTGCACCAGCCTGGCGGACCGTACCCCCATCATGGAACCCATGTCTTCGATGTTGGAGCGGGACGGTCCGCGGTCTCTACCAGCTGCTTCACGGTTGTCATATTGGATCGGCGCAGCGCCTCCGACAGCCCTGGTCCCGCACGGTCGCACACGTCCAGCCTCGACCCACAGATCCAGGGCTGTAGAAGAAGAAGAAGAGTTCTTGTTTGCGCATGCCCACTGAGGGATTTGCCCACAACAGTACACTGAAAATCAAACATGTTTGATTTTCTCCCGACCTCACGATTCCTGATCGGGAGGTCGTCGTGAGAGGCTGAGCGTCCCTGGTTACCACCTGTACCCAACACGATCAGGCTGAAAGTCCGCCCGATCGAAAACTTCTCGCACGAGTGGAAAGTCGGCCAGAAAAGGGCAAAACATCGTACAAAGTATGCCCGGCTTTAATAGAATTTCAGCACTGGGTGTGATGAGCTGACATAAAGAGAAGTGGCACCATCTGCTGGCAGCATTCAGAACAAAAAAAAAACTACTCTTTACTTAATTTCATCAAGCCTTTTTTATTTAGCCAATCCTTTTCTTTTCAATTAGAGAATAGTTACACTGCTGTTTTAACATATTTCTGATAAGGGACGTCCGTTTCAAGGAGAGAGCAACAAGGAACCAACTGTTTAATTGCATCTTTAGTTTTCCTTTTGTTTAACAGGAACACCAGCGGAGATCCTCCCTTTGATACAGTCTGAGCCGCAAATTGGGAGAAGCAACCAGAAAGCAGGACCTAAAGGTAATTTCTAAGAGTTCTAAGGGATTTAGTTCAGTTTTGGCTTGCTAAAAGGGAGTTTTTCCTCTCCACTGTCGCTACAAGCATGCTTAGTGTGAGGGATTGCCTACAAGTCAGTGAGTTGATGCAATCAATTTGATTGTATGAGCTGGTAGAATTGTAAAGTGCTTTGAGATGACGTGTCGTAAATTGGTACTATATAAATAAACTGAATTTAGTTGCTAATAAATGCTACTTTGATCTTCTTAGGATCTAATTTCTCAATTATTTCCTTGTTTGACTGCAGATGAGCCACAGAGTGAGGAAGATCTGGGTTCCCTCCCTGATCTCTGTGCAGATGATGATCCTGATGTGTTGGGTGAAGAGCAGAAACGAGTGGGCGGACTGGCTTGGGGGGTGTATAAGACCTACTGGTTTGCTGTGGGTGGAGCGCTGGCTGCCTCCATCTTGATGTCGCTGCTTCTGATGCAAGGTTTGAAAAGCCCTGGGTAATCATGTGACAGGAATGGGTGTTCTGTGAAAATCAAAAATATGTTAAAATGGGATCCAGCCAGCCAACAGAAAAAGCTGCGACTATCAATTAATGGCGTCACAGAAGCAGACTGAGCGAAAAACACGGTGATAAAAATGAACACAGAAACTAAAAGGGCTCAGTCCCATACTGGGATTTTACAACTTTCTATACCAGTAGCTCACTCTGGTTACACACAAAAGCTTTTGGAGTAATTATTTTATTTTTACACTTTTTATTTTTACACTCCATTTGTTAGGAAACATCAGTGTTTGTATTTCAACCTTAAAAGGAGGTACGACGTTGCACATTTAAGCAATAATTAACAAAGAAGTCATATTCCCAGCCGAGGTGTTAAGATAAAGATCATCGTTAGTGTTCACTGCATCAGGAGCTTAAAAAGGGTTGATGGATGCATGAGTGGGTACTGCCAGCAGATGGCGATAGTGCACACCAAGCCTTATCTCTGTGCAGAAATTCTCCTCCAGCTCAAAAACAACTAATTAAATAAACACTATCAGGGCATAAGCTAGATGTTTATTTCTTTAATTCACATAAATATGATTTTTAGTTTTTATAGACATAGCACGTGACTGGGTATAGAGTAAATTTTGTACCATTATTGTTACAATTAAAGAACATCTTTGACTAAAAAATGTTTTTTATACAAATGTTTGAAAAAAAAGAATCCAGAAATGAAAATGACTGTAGTTAGACAGAGAAACAGCCTCAAAGCTTTTAAACCACTTTTTAAATCCATAAAATTTATATCATCCTTTTTTTTTGGGAATATATTATGCTACGTTCACACTGAACACAATTTCAGCAACAAAAAGCCTAACCCTTCTGCTGCTCCTAAGTTTGATAGCAGAGTGCAGCTTTTCTATATGCTTTGATAACTGGGTCAAATGTAGTTTTAATATATTTCAATGCAAGGCGTCCACCTCAAAACATAGTCTGTACAGCCATTTCTTTAAGATTAAAATACTGCCTTAAAATATTCACAGACGGAGCTGCTCAGCCCTCCACATACAGATGGTGCGTTGTCTCTGGGAGTCTCCAGCAGTAGCTGCCTCAGGCCGGGTCGCCTCCTGGGGATTTCCCCTACTGTTCATGGCGGCTGGAAGTAGATGTTAGCATTGAGGCGCTGCTTCGGCTGCTCAGATGCATAAAGATGCAGCGCTCCTTCTGCTCTAGACAGCACATCTAGCAGAACCCATGACCTTTTGATGCTCCTTGATGCACCTCAATCATAAACTGCATGTAAAACGGCTGCTTCTGCTGTCCAAAGTGCATCCGGTGTGAACGCAGCATTACACAGCTTGGTGATGATGTGGGGTACCACTGCTGCTCTTCTTTTTTTTAAACTTTTTTCTCTAATTCATCGAGTCAAATAAGAGACATTGTTTAGATTTGTAGGACATTGGGACAGAAGTCTGCAAAACTGGAGATCTGGTTACACTATGTAAACACTACTCACCATCAGTGGGTTTGGAGCGCTCCCCTCCAGATCTTTAGAAACAGATTCTGAACGATGTTGTAGAAAAAGAAAAAACATGACCAATGCTGATTAGCAGCAGCACTTTGTGCTTTCATGTTTGCTCTACTTTCAGCCTCTAAGAACGTTTCTGACTGGTGGCTCTCCCATTGGATCTCTTCATTGAAAAACAACGGCTCCAGTTGTGCTAATGATTCCTCCTCGACCCATCTTCTTCTTCCTCACCTGCTGCTTTTTTCACCCGGTCACCTAACGTAAGTTAATCTGAAAAACACAAAATACTGAAAAATAAATCTGGAATGAAAGTTTAGATTCATTTTAGAAAGGTTTGGAAATTTAAAAAAAAGTGTACACTGAGTAAAGATAT